AGACTGTCTTTGTGATGACGAAGCCGAATCGGGACTTACTCAGTGATCTTGATGCTCTCCCATGAGCCGGTCTTGTCGCCGAACGAATACTCCTTGCCGGAGCTGTAGTCGGTGACCTGGGCTGACTTGACATACATCGTGTAGGGTCCCGCGGCGTAGTCAGTGTCGCCTCCAGCCCACTCTCTGGTGCCAGCAGCCATGCGCGGATCGCCACCGGCCCAGATACCTAGACTCAGTCGCATAGGGGTCTGGGGGTAGGCAGCAGTGTTGTTGGCGTCCGTAGCCTTCAACACTCGCACCTGGCTGCCATCCACCCACCATTCGAGTTGATCCTTGGTCCAAACAGTGGTGTAGTTGTGGAAGTCATCGTGAATGCTACCAGAAACGGCATGCGTGGCGCCATTCTTGAAGTCTTCCACGCCCTTGCCGAAGAAGTTGCTCAGGGCGTCGTTCTTGACACCGAGGAATTCCCAGTCGACCTCGTCCAAGGTGTCGCTGAGCCACATCATAGAGCTCACGATACCCTTGCCCGTAGCTGCCCTCATGTGGATCTCGGTGCGGCCGAAGAAGAAGTAAAACTTTGTGCGAATGGTGGGGGAGTCACCCTGCTTGCTGATGGTGAACTCGGCGCCGTTGTCTGCGGTGTACGTGACGGGACGGACGGTGGTCTCCCAAGCATCGGTCGATGGAGTGGCGTTGAAGTTGAAGGTGTAATCCATACCAAAGGCCGGGTCGGCAGGACAAGTGGTGTTCATCGGGTTGCATTTGGTCGAAACCTGGGCAATGGCTGGCTGGGCGAGCGACGCCAACAGCGCCACCGCCGAGAGAGTGTATTGCGACAGCATGTTGATAAGAAGCCGCAGTCGTGTAGGAAGCCGGTGTAGTTGGAGTTTGAAACCTGAGTCAATGAAGGGCCAGGTAAATGAGAAAAGTCTGTCGTGGAGTTCGGCAATGGTCCAGTCGACGGCGAAAACAATACGTCTAGTATCGCGAGAAGGGAAAATTTCAGAACTCGGCGCGTGTGGCGAGGCGTAGAAAGGTCAAGGAGTGACGAGAGTGAGTTGTAGTATGTAAGAGAGTGTAAGTGCCCGCGTCTGTTCTCGGCAGCAAAATAGTGCTGAGAAAGACAACACACAAAGTCACAGACGAAGTGCCGAGCAGATGGTTAGGATAGGAATGAAAGAGCGGAATGAGAGCCCTCTCGTGGGAATGACAGGAATGTCAAGGAATGGCGATGGTGGGGGTTCAGTTCAAAATTGAGTTAAAAAGGAGAGTGGATATGGGCCATATGGCGGGTGTGGCATTGGATGGCGCTCGCGCTCAGATGGGCATTGGAAGCAGCCGAAGCACAGACAATCGAATTGAGTTGCTGGCAGCTCGAGCAATGATAGGAGATGGCCTTCATCTAACGCGGGCGAAGCGGAGCGGCAGAGCCAAGACAGGCCAGGGGATGCTTGGAGGCGTGACAAGCGACATGGTGATTTAAGGGGGTGCCAATGTCTGTTGCTCCTCTTTGGTTCTTGGAGTTCCATCTGCAACGGGCAGCGTTTCCGCACCAGAGCCAACTGGGCCTAGCGCCACAACTATCGGTCGAACCAGAGAACGGCGCTCTTGCAAATGCCTGCCTCTTTGTGCCATCGGCAGTGGCCACAAGTGCAAGGTTATCGGAAAGGAAATTATCCCAACATTTGCTTAGCGACCAGCGAGGCAATTGTGAAGACTATCCCCGAGATTGTTGGTGGAGAGCCCCGTTGAACGCGGCACTCTGGCCCCCGGGGAGGCAACTTGCGAGAAGCCCTGTCAGCGCGCCGTTGCGTTTGCCTGCGTCATAGGCTGGTTGAACGGACAAGCAGAAATGTCCCGAGGTCAGCGTATCGCGTCTGCGAGGTCCATACCGCCTTCTGAACTGCAACCATTGGTGGCGGTTCGCTCCTCGGAGAAAAGAAAAGTGTACCATCGCAGGCACTAGCGATGCAGTTTGGAGGAAAACGGGACTGATTCAGGAGTCGATCTGCTCGTCGCAGTTGGTTGATCCCAGGAACACCTGCCCAAGCTGGACACTTGAAACTCCCGCAGACGTTGAATCCGTGAAGTCGAAGGCGAAAAGCAATGCTATGGAGCGGCCAAAGCCGTGTTTGACTGGAGGCTGGAGGCGCAGGAAAATCTCAGGCAGCTGGGCTCAGCTCGCTTTCGAGCCACTGACTCGAGTAGCAGAGGTTCGTTGGGCCAAAAATACCTCTTGGCGGGGATATTTACAGCTGTCCGCGTGATGATCATGGGATGAAAGGTAAAGACGCGGGCACAAGCCCAAGGACGAACCCGCCCCAGCCTTGTTGGCTGAGGGATCCTTCACTCAGCTCTGAGTGCTGGAAATGGTGCTCGACATAACATGCAGCAAGGCGTCCAATGACGAGCTAACACTGAAGAAAACCTCGTGCCTTGCTGTGGGTAGAGCTCGTGTTGCGAAGGGGGCCGTGAAGACCAGAGGGCTGAAGCCTTCAAAATGCGGAGCGGTGCAAAATCTGAAGCGGGGACGAGAATTTAAACGGACTGACGTGAGATAGTGGCGATCAGTCTGTGGACTCTGTCCCCACGAGCACCCGACTGTTCCTAATCACAATGTAATTGTGTAATAGTCCTCACGAAAGACAAGAGAATGTGAGAGCGGCCGAGGTGATGTCTCTTCGACCGAGCAAACTGCGGGCTTGCAGTGTTGAGGTGATTGCGGCATTGACTTTGATTGCTTGCAAACAATTTTGAGTGAGATGTGATTGGCGAAATGAGCCCAGATGCTGTATGTAGTCGGATCGAAACTGTACAAGACTCGTCTGTTTCAGGTGACTTCATCCTATCGTTTGATCTGAGCATCAAGACATGACGGCCGGAAGGATTCAGTGTGAGGTTTGGCGTTCGTGGTAAGCAGTGCGAATAAGCAGGTGAGAAAATGGCAGGTGAGATGAGATGAGTAAGGCACCGTGAGGAGGTAAATCATCGGGTAATCGGCGCAGCACGGCCCAAGCAGCCGGGTCACCGCCGGCCGGACCCACATTCTTAAATTATTTGAGCTGCCGCTAAAACGCAGGATTTTCGGCCATGGCCGCCGGGCTGGGCCGATTTCGGTCAAAGGTCAAGCCACAAGGGCGATTTGTTCCCTGTTTCTGCTCGCATGGCTTGTTGAGGGTGCTGAAATCGCAATCAGCGACGCCAGAGAGCATCCCCCCAAGAGTCAGGACTCGAACAACACACCTCACGTCAATACTAGATTTGTTGACTTGCAAACAAAGTTGGCCTTCCCATTGCCCGCCCCTAATGCAAAATGCCAACACCAATCTCGGCAATCTATCCGTGCAAAGCCCACATCGTCCCCGAACCTCACCAAGCAGAACGTGACTCACGACCGCCAGCGCGCTTCCGATTACGCGGCGGTGGATTCTGTCTAGGACCGGACGCTTACCCGAGGCGTAATAGCCATGCCAAATGTGTCAAAGTTGCCCTGTCAAATGGCAAAACGACATGCCTAGACGCGATAACGCAATGCCAATCCCTAGGCGAGGCCGCGGGATGCGATCAGGTTTTTTCAGCCGCCGCCATTCATATATCCTCCCGGACCCCCTTCCGCGTCTGCTTCCCCTACCTTCCCCGTGCAGTGATCACCTCATCACCTCGACCACGCCTTGGCTTTAATCACGAGATCGCGACCAACATCCACAGACCTGACCGGTGAACCAGAGAGAAGGACGTCAGCATCTATCGAAACCAATCCGACCCCTAATCGACATGGCCGCAGAGAATGGTCTGCGAGTCGCGGACTCGTCAGACACCGATAATGAGCCGCAAACCCAACCCCGGCCGAAGCGCGGTGTCATCGACTGGCTGCGCGACGACGTCAACGTTCGCCATACAGACATCCCCGTCCTTGCCTGCTGTTTAGTTTCCGGCTTGTGTGACAGTGTGGCAGTCAATGCCGCCGGTGTGTTTGTCAGTATGCAAACTGGTGAGTACCCCTCAATGGCCACAAAAGACCCTCGCTCTGACGCAGGTACAGGTAACACCATCTTCATGGCTCTTGGCGCCTCTCGCCTACCGGCTGGTGAGCCCCTGCTCTGGCTCAAGTCTTTGAGCTCCATCGCCGCATTCTGGCTCGGCTGCTTCTTCTTCTCCAAGTCTCGCCACATCCACCCCAAGCGCCGAAGCACGCTCGCGCTCTCCTTCACTCTTCAGGCGTCCCTCATCTTCCTCGCGGCCGCTTTCGCCCAGACTCGAGTTGTCGCCGACTTTGGCCTCGCTTCCGTCCAAGGTTCTGAGTCGAACCATGAGTTCAAGACTTCTGAGAATCCTCTCGTAATGGTGCCACTCGCCCTTCTCGCTTTCCAATTTGGAGGTCAGATCGTCACCAGCAGGATCCTTGGTTTCAACGAAGTCCCGACGAACGTCCTCACCAGCGTCTACTGCGATCTCCTCTCCGACCCGAAGCTATTCGCCCCGCTCAAGGAGAACCCCAAGAGGAACAGGAGGTTCTTAGCTGTGGTCTTGCTTGTGCTTGGAGGTATCATCGGCGGATGGTTGCAGAGAAGCAGCACCGGCATGCCAGGAGCACTGTGGATTTCGGGCGCCGTCAAGTTCTTCATCGCGATTGGCTGGATGGGATGGAACAGGAAAGAACCCGAGGAGAGCAAGCTCGAGAAGGGAGCTGCGTAAAACTGAGTTGAATAAACGAATCTATACCATGGACGGAAGTAACGGCCTTTAGACGGACAGTCAACGACGTGAGCATATACCCAGATAGAGGCTCTCAGTTGCTCTCCATAGACACTCAAAGTTAGTTTTGATCGGCGTGCCTCGCCGATCCGTAATGAAGAATAAACGGGATTGCGTCTCCCGCCGCCGGCCACAGCTGAAGGTTGACATTTGGACAAGATGTAAGACCATTGTCAAAAAAGGTAAGGATATGCTGGTCCACAAACTCGCATGTACACCACTTCTTTTTCTTGACATCTTAATCATTGCCTGTTGCCCAACAAACTCACTGAGGGCGGCCAGAACCTCCTCAGCAAATCATCTGGTAGAGTTCCCCTCGCCGTTTGTTGAGGGTAGACGCTCAGTCTGGTCGAGTGTGCAGGACATACTGCGACACAGCGCTTGCCGCCGCACTTCTGAACTTGGACCCGAAGCTTGCTTAGCACTACCGCCAGCTTAGCCAAGTTGACTCTTTCCTGAAACGCCCAGTTGTCCAGATCGATAGCCTCGGCATCACCTCCAACTGGTAGAGGCTTATTCCAGGACACCGTAGGTCCTTTAATGCGTCCACAGATGAACCAACCCATCCGGCCGAACCAGAGCTTTGGCATCGCCCTCTTGACCTTACAACCAGATCTTGTTGTTTTGATCTCTGCGGAATCGCAAGTGCTTATTGTGACACTGAAAGATCCCGTATTTCCGGGGTCTGGCTGGTGGGCTTGTCGAGCAGAGCATCTTCTTCCGTTAGGTTCTCACCTGTGTCAATAGGAGACGGTTCTTCATGACAAGCGTCAACCTCGCATTGAACAGCGCATTGCAAGGCCCCGATACTGTATCGAATAGTCCGATAGTGACCCTCGGTTTCCTCAAGATGAGGCGGGTTTTTGGTGAACCCCCGTTCGCACGCTGTGCCCGAATCTTCTGGTCCTCGGTCAAGAGTATGCTCTTCCTCGGCAGGCTCAACGACGAGCGTCTTCATCCCAACAAGGTACAGGTTGAAGCGAAACCCCTTGTAGTTCCTCTTGCCGACGAAATCGAATATGTTCCTCAGACTGTGCCTTGTTATCACATTATCGATGTCATTGAGGGTGAAAGCGGGGGCAACCATGGCGTCAGCGCGGAACAGAACCTCGAAGGGGTACTTCCGTGCATGTCAAATGATTTTGTTGCCATTCTGTTCGCGATTCTCCTCCATTTTTGCCGCAAGTTCCCGACTTTCCGTCCATACATATGGCCATTCTACCCTCTTCAGGCTCTGGCCAGGACCGTCGTGGCCGGGTATGAGTGTTGGTTGGGAGTATGCACCAGGGTTCCATATTGATGGATGGCCTTATTTGTTCTTAGCTAGGCATGCAGGGATTATACTCGCGGTAATCTTACCAGGAATGCATATTGCGTTAGGGACACTCTGATACATGTTGAAGCTACACAAGACCTCGAAATGGCTCGTGCTTGTAGTTGTCTCTTGTGGCGTTTGAATCTGTGACTGCTGGATAGTCAAGCAGGTACCTCTTCTGCTAATACTGTGCCATAAGTAAAGACACCTCGGCGGCAGGCTCTGATGGGCATGTTCTTGCGCCGGATCTGATTCCAAAAGGATGGATCGGGGAGAGGCAAGTTGATTGGATCTAGTCGACATGGTGAAAATTGGGCTCACCTGACGAGGAAGCCTCTTGAGGTGCGTTGAGAGAGAAGGAATTCAGCCATCTCGCTCATACCATTTCTGTATTTAATCGCAAAATCTTGAGTCCTCAACTTTCTTAAATTTTCTTTTTCTGCAGTCAGCCTCCAGCATGCCCATGTGGCTGCAGAAAGCCTGCAGATGGGACTGCCATTCATCGCATGAAAGGCTCAACCAATGCAACCTTGTTCCGCCTTTTATGGCTATTTCACATAGGCGTCTGATTGGGATTAGAGATTTTGTTGTACCGCCATCAATTTAGTGCCAGAGAGTGTTCTAGAGGGTGTGAGAGACAAGGAGACGTGTAGCCAGCAGCTGTCAGATCTGTTCACCAGCTATGAGTCGTGGCTTGATAAGCATCAATTACCAGTATACAGCAAGGCACAGATATGGTAAAGGACCAAGCAGGCTGTTGTAAGAGCTTTCAAACACTGGCCAATGGGCCTAGCCTGCTCGTGCTAAGGATAGCTGGCCTCAGCTAACACGAGCTTTGCTGGTGACATGTTGTGTCTTCGCCTATCACAAAGGTGACATTACCAAGATCCTCCAGGGTCTATCATTCCCCTTCGGGAGAAGCCGAAAGCCCCAGAACACAGTCTTCGGCGAGATTTTCAGGGCACCGTGGCCAACGATCAAGGAACGACCACATTTGACCTTGCTCAAGTCCAAATTCCCCACAGACCTGTAGCTGCTAAGCTTCACACGATGTATCCTGCGCCCTCCATGTTCCAGCCCACACCGGATGTAACGCGGCTTGCTTGTAGAACAGACTGATGAGGAACTCGAGCACTCACCACTGACCGAGGGGAAAGTACCATCATCTCCCTCCAGTTCTTCGCAGGGACATCACTCGCTAATCGAGCCCCATTAGCCACGACCAAACACAACGCTAGAACATACGCCACAACGTCAACGGTTCTCCCTAGCCTCTCTCACCACGGCCGTTGGATCCAGCCCAAAACGCCAGCTCATCAAACAGCAGAAGCACACGACCGTTCCCCCAGATGCCACAACCCGACCATATCGTCACAAATCCCCAGCAGAAGCACCACCCCTTGCATCTCAAGCACAGCCCCCGTCGACCATCACAGCATCGNCACAAATCACCAGCAGAAGCACCACCCCTTGCATCTCAAGCACAGCCCCCGTCGACCATCAAAGCATCGCCTTGTCTCCAGAGACATGCACGATGTCATACCCACTACCCCGGTCACCTTAGCACCATCACGAACCAACCTCCATCGCTCCCAAATCCTCCAGACGAGACATTCCTTAACGAGTCCCTGCATGTCTAAACCCCTAAAAAAGAGCTCGCCCTCTCAGAGACGTCCAAGAATCTAGGGGTCCTACCAAAAGGGGTTGAATCGCCGTCATCATTCCCTCTGATTGGCCGGCGGACCGGTTCGGGACCCCTGCTTGTCTGACGTCACCGAGGATGGTGATCTCAGTCGTCGATCACCAGCAAACAGGTTTGGCGTCGCACAGCACAACACCTCAACGCCGTCGATGCTGTTGGCCAAAAAAGAAGCATTGGTCTGACGGGCAAGATGGGAAGCTGAATGACCACCTTGGCATCATTGTGCAGCATTACCTGCCAACAACCCGCGGATCAGGGTCTCGGCACGGGGGAGGGGTTTGGAACTATTTGGTGCCAGCGGGCGTACCCAATGTGAGGATTCATGGGTCATACCTGATAGACCTGATAGCGGTATGACATGATGGGGGGACCAGAGGACGATATAACCTCTGCCCTTCGCCGAGACTCTTCCCATCCGTCTTATCCAGCATCCCAAGCTTCCAATACATACCAAGCACGCAAAAACAAGCATTCACCAAGCTTTAACCCATACCACCACCCACGCACACATCCACAATGCCTTTCTTTGGTGGCCGCCGTGAACCCACACCCGAGCCCGTCCGGGAACCCACCCCTCCTCCCCCCCAAGAGCCCCGCCGCGGCTTCTTCGGTTCCCGCCGAGAACCCTCTCCGGAGCCCGTCCTGCACCAGCCGGTCGCCGAGCACCCACAGCGCAAACACGGCCTCTTCTCTCGCCGCGACCCCTCTCCCACACCTACAACTCGCACCTCCGCCACGACCGCCACCTCCCGCTCCTCCTTGTCCTCAACGACGTACCACACCAGCCCGGATGGCCACCACAGCAACGGCGGCGGCGGCCTCTTCCGGCGCTCCACGGATGCGTCCTCCGGCCGTCGCGGGCTGCTTCACAAGTTCGGTGGTCACAACGTCGAGATGGATCCCAGCATCGTCACTGCGCGCGAGCGGGTTATGGGCGCCGAGGCAGCCGAGAAGGAGGCCGACCGCGCGCTCCAAGCGGCGAGGGAAAGTGTTGCCGCTGCTAGGGCCGATGTCCGCAGGCTCGAGGAGGAGGCCAAGGAGGAGGCTAGAAGGGCCAAGATCAAGCAGTACCACGCCCGCGAGGTGTCCAAGCGCGGCAAGGCTCTCGGTCGTAAGTTGACACCGATAATCCTTTCACACGCACATGTTAACCATTCATCACAGGCCACGGCGACTTGTAAGCTGTGTACAGAATTATCAGCTGCTTCACATTTTATTTTGTTGTTATGTGCTCATGATACACATCATGTCAACGGAAACGAGATCGGAATGACCGTAAAATGCCTTCACGGGATGTATTAGTATCAAGCATATGTGCATTATATGAGCGATCGTGTGTTCAGGCGTTTGGGGCAGATATTGTTAAATTAACCAGGCCATACAAAAAAAGCTGGCCATAAAACTTCATTTTCTAGACTACCGCTCTCACTATGTTGTTCAATGTGAACCCAGACGCAGAGTGCATGAGAGTTAACCCGGCAGCCGTTCAGAGACAGCATACATCTACCCTCGGCAACCGCACGTCATTGGCTCGCTCACGATCTAGTCTCGACGCATTGGAATGCTCCCTCTAGTATCTGCTGGGAACCCTGATCCTCGGACGGGAGGCGCGACTGCGGAACTATGGAAATCCGCCTGATTGGTGTCAGGTTTTGCAGACCAACAAAATGTCAACCGCTGACTGGACCCTGATTTTCCCCCTTCTCCAGTCCGATTGCGACGGGTGCCTCTGCTGAGCTGCGGGAGTAAGCGCGCATCGGGGATATTCCCAGAAGTTGATTGCCATTTCTTCAGCCTTGACACCCAGCAGACGCCACTCACATCCATCTCACCTCCCCAAGCTCTGACTGGGCGGTACTCACAGATTGGGAATTCCCGGTGACTTCGTAGTGCTTCTTCTCGGAGGTCCTGTCACTGATAGAAACTTTATCCAGCTGTCCGGGCCCCGTCACTCGGTGCGCGCATGTGATGGCTTCAAATTTTGTGTGATGGTGGTTCATTAAGCATCATCTAGGCTGAGAACTTTTTGCTGGTAGAGGCTAAAGAAAAAGACTCAAGACGAGCTGGCCACGAACGGTACCTCTTCCGAGGAACTCCGTATCCAGATGGTCGTGTGCATGTGCAACCTCCTGCCTAGCACGCCATGCCTCCTGGCCGAGCGGCCCTGCTGTATACGTGATTAAGACGACGAGACAAGAAAGAAAACCCGAACCCCCCAGACCTTATGTGCATTGCGAAGTGAAAAGGGTATTTACAGTGTGCTAAAAGAATAGCCGATGCCCAAGAGGTATCAAGAACGTCATGCCGAGCCACAAGTCCGTATAGTAGCCGACGAAGAAGCAAAGAAGCATCTGTCCAAGGAGCTGGACGGGCTGCAATAAAAAAAGACGTAATGGGGTAAGGGTAATGAGGTCCAATCCGTGCTAACGCCGACGCCGTCCATGTGCAATAGTGGAAAGTGGTTTTCCTCCCGTCCAAAACAATATCCGCCCGATCGATCGTGTCGTGAGAGTAGAAGGTCGAAAGGAGAATGTCGAAGGCCGAAAAGAAAGTGGCGTCAAGTACGCTTACATGACGGCGCACTTGGACTCCTCGCGGTCCTTCTTGACGCTGAGGGCGACGCGAGCAGCCTCAGTAAAGGCCTCGTTGACGCCGCGGTTGCGCATGGCGGAGCACTCGAGGTAGCGAAGGGCGTTGATGCGGCGAGCAACCTCCAATCCCTGCTCGTAGTTGATCATGGGACGTTTCTCGCGCTGCTGGCCCTCGGTGGCACCCTCCTCCTCCTCGTTGTCGGACTCGCGCAGATCGCACTTGAGGGCGACGAGAACGAGCTTGACGCCGGGGCAGTTGTCTGCGATCTCGCCAACCCACTTGCTCTCGACGTTCTCGAGGGAGTCCTTGCTGTCGACGCTGTAGCAAAGCATGATCAGGTCGGTGTCATCTGCGCGACCCAATTAGCGAAAAGCCCGCTGTCCTCCTTCATGGGGAATCCTACCGTAAGACAGACTGCGGAGACGGTCGAACTCCTCCTGGCCGGCAGTATCCCAGAGGGACAGCTCGATGTGGACGTTGTCGACGAAGATGTCTGCAGAGGCTGGGTCAGCAAGCGATTCGAACGGGAGAGAAACGTCGGGGCATTGGGCGGCAATGAAGCGCAAGTGGAATCGATCGAGCGGAGAGAGGAAAGAGGGATTTGTCGCATACCGTGGACATAGTTTTCGAAGACGGTGGGCTCGTAGACAGTCGGGAAGTAGCTGGGGCAAGTCAGTAAATTGCATCGCAAGCTCGGAATGGAGACCAGCAAAGAGAATGAGGAGAATAGGCAGGCGATGTCGGACGTACCCTCGAGTAAAGACGTTCAACAGCGACGTCTTGCCACAGGCACCGTCACCACTGCAGGTATCAGGTCAGTCAGCCAAAATCGACAAGTCGCAGCCAAGCGACTGCAGCAAGGGTGGAAGGGAAAGCAGGTCTCACAGGAGAACCAGCTTGCGCTGAACCGTCTTAGATCCTCCGCACAGGGGCATGGTGGGCGATGCTGGCGAGTGGTGAGAGAGGCAGAGTAGCAATTGAGGGTGTGGTTTTGGTGAAGCAGCCGAGGCGATACAAGGCTGGTCGATTGCTCTTGGTAGCAAAGAGCAAAAAGTTGGCGGTTGTCAGGTGAGAGATTGTGGTTTGAGGGTTTCAGGCTGGTGAGAGCGAGAAAGAGAGGCAGGCGCGCGGGTTGGTTGTTGGTTGTTGCTTGCGGCCGGATCAGGACTGGCGTGCGACAGCAGGAGGAAGTCGGTAGGGCAAAGCCAAGGCAGGCAAGGTGAGGTGAAGCAGACAACGGAGAAGGAAGGTGCTGGCCACACAGGTTGCAGGTGGACAAGCAGGTCGCAGGTCGCAGGCCAGAGGCTGGAGGTTGGTTGCAGTGTGCAGAAGGTAATGTGCAGTGTGCAGGACGACTCCAAGTCGGGAAGGGAGTAAATTGAATGGTAACAGTGAAATGCGGGAGGGAAGGACGTGGAGCAGCAGAGGTGAAGGAAACAGCGGGGACAATAAGGGAAGGCGCTGCTGGTGCTGGTGCTGGTGCAGGCCTGGCCGTGAGGGCGCTTTGTGTGTCTGTGGAACGAACTGCAGGTGCAAAGTGCAAGTGCAAGTGCAAGTGGTGCAACTGCCAACAGCAGGAGGTGCAGGTACAGGTACGGGTACAGGTACAAAGTACGAGCAAAGTCAATCCGAGAAGAGAGTGGGAGAGAGAGAGGAAGAGGGAGGGAGGTTTGGCAATCAGGGGACAATAGCAGATGCTTCTTTTCTCTAATTCCTAGCTATCCCTCCCTATCCATGGAGAATACCTTATTAGTACTGCGGTACAGAATGGATTGAGGATAGCTTAGCGGATGGGGATGCAGCACGCGGGAAATTGGGTTGGAGGATGGTACGCTGCTCAATTGGCGGAGATGAAGTCAGAGGGACCCGCAGCCCTTGTGAGATGGGGCCGAAAAGAGAGCAGGAACGGGCAGGCAGCCGGGGGGTGGAAGGCACCTGCGCTCGCGACGTGCTCTTGCTCTGCAAGGGCCAGGGCCAGGCTGGTAAAGTGGAAGGGACGAGGCGGACTGTGCTTTCTGTTTTGGTCGTGAAGGTTGACGAAAATTGCACAAGAAATTTCAACGAGAAGAAAACAAAACAACAAGGCAAGAGCAGGTTGGACCGTACCTGAGGGCGGGAAGGAAGCTGCAGCAGCTGAATAGCGAGGGGGCATCATAGGGGTACGCAGCAAGATCAATTGGACTGGGCTGTCAGCATCGTGAACACCAGCATCAAACCACTACCATCCCCAGCATCGATATCGACATCGACATCGACATCGACATCGAAGCCAGAGGGCAAAGCCATTATCGTCGTCGTCTTCCTGACTGCCTGCCTGCCTACGAATACATTGCCTCGCCCTCCCGCCTCGCCTCGCTTGGCCTCGGTGCGTAGGTAGGTAAGGTATCCACCACGGACGGGCAACCACTGAAATGTCACTGCACGCAGCACATCATCATCACCACCACCGCCGCCTCCTCCTCCGCCGGAGAGACACCGGGACCCGTGAGGCACAATTCCTAGGCAGGCCTAGTGGGGAACAGATGCATCTTCCCCGCCACATATTGCACGTCCTGCATGCACTAAAACATTTATCGCCCTGTTCCGTCGTTCCCGTCCCTCACACTGGTGGACGAACACCTTCCTCCGTATCCATATTAAAAACATCTGCAAAGCAGCACGAACAACACAACAAGCAGGGTCCGCAAAAAAAAAAAAAAAAAAAAAAAAAAAAAAAAAAACCNAGGGGCCCAAAAAAAAAAAAAAAAAAAAAAAAAAAAAAAACATCATCCATGGATCCATCAAGCGTCCAGTGTGTGAGCTGAAGTCGAGTGTCCATTAGGCTTTTTGGATTCCCTTCCCCCTGGTTCGACAGCTTTGGTGGCGTCAACTCAAGCCCCGTCCAGCGCCGCTCTGGATAAGACGTAAGACGGCAAGGAGGGGCATCGTGTACTGACACGCCCACAGTCTGACACCAGGTACATGCTTCGATAACATCATCCCAGCTGAATACCCAGCCCGCACGCCGCAATCGTCGGGTTCCCGTGCCTGTCCACGTCCAATTCTCCGCTGCCTCACCTCGCCCGGTGCCGATGCCGCGCCCTGTCAGATTGCAGATTCAGATCATCGCCGCCAAAATCCCAGACCAGTGCCCGCGCGGCCCTCCAAAACTCTGCGCCGGTAGCTGTGGCTACTACTGCAAGGCATGCACTCGACGCTCACTCGCATCTGCAACCGCCATCTTTGCTGATCTCCGACTTCTATTTCCGCATCATCCCATCTCAGCTCCATCCTTCAAAGCAGCACACGCCAACGCAATCCAGTTTCACTACTTCACCGCACATCTTCACCTACCCGTCCTGTCCTGCTTCGTTCCATGCAGTCATTGCCTGCTCAGTATAATTCTGCCCACGGGTACGACTCATTCGCCCCAATCGTCATAGCCAACTTCCAAGACCAGAGCTCTGTCAAAACAAACAACCCCCACTACTCAAACAGTTGACCCCATCGCCAGCCAAGTACCGCCTTCAGCAAGACAGGCACATCCCGGCGATCTGTCCCGCCGCCTTGCCGGATGCTTAAGAAGCCCCGAGAGCGGCGTCGATTCTGGCGGAACCAACAAAATCTCAGACTGCGCAAAGGCCCAAGACCCAAAGCCCAGGGCCCCATCCCACTCCGTCAAGCCTCCGACCCTGCGCCGCTTTTGTCCGTCTTGGTCTTCTAGAATTCCCTTGCCGAAGTCCCGGACGCGAAATCCACGATTTTGCCTCGCAGTCGCAGACAGAACTCGGTATGCTTGGCGGGTCGAAATCTCGCTGGAGAGAAAGCAAGCTCGGTATCGCAACATGTCGGGTCGACCCTCATCGCCTCTCACAACCCCTCTTCGCCATCACTCAGCCACAATCCCAAGACAACCCACGTCTGCCAACTTCCCCATCAGTGAGCCAGGTGCCATCGCCAGCCTCCATGGAAACGCAACCCCGCGCATTGAACCGCAGGCACTGCCAGGGATTCTGAAGCTCGCCGCCCCGCCAAGCGCCGCCGTGCCGCTCCATCGTGCTTCGGATGCCCCCTCAATTATTCCTCGCCACGACGAAGTCCGCCCGATGACTGTGCTACGACGCCTCCCGCAGCCCGTGTGTGCGTACTTTGCACCTGCGAAAGCATCACTTGTGCTTGCGTTTACTACTATCGGACAAACAGACGATCAAATCATGAAATGCAACGGCAAGAAATGTCCAGCATTGGTAGTGTCTGTATTGCTTTCGAGTGACGTATCGTCATTCTGGGGTATTCTATGCACGCATATATCCTGCCGGATGCCACCCTACTCTGAGGATTTTGGTTATGACGAGCGCGTGTATAACCGTACGTCCAATGCCATTCTGCGGGGAAATCCATCTCAAAAACCCCCTCGTGACCCATTTCCATTCCAACCTTCCCGTCCGCGTATGCTTCGCGTATGCGAGGTCGATCCGTTGGCCGTTGGTACTCAGACCCGCCTCTCCGGGCGCTACTTGTCGGCGCTCAGTGCTCGAACGCCTCACGCCTCCTTCGCGGACTCCACAGATAGCTTCCATCGGGGGTTGTGGACAGTTTCTTGACGTATTTGCCGAGTTAGTCCGCGTCTGCCCTTCAGTCGTCATCCCTCTGTAGACCTTGTCTTCCCCGTCCAAGCCTCTCTGCCAACCCCAAGTTACCAGCCTTGCGGTGCAGACCGTTGACAAACTGCCTGTCGCCGTACTTGGAGGACTTATCCCTGGCCTGGTTGTCGGCATCACGTGCTGCCTTTTCCTGTGCTTCGAGCGCAGCCAAACGACGGTCTCGGTCCGTGTCAAGGTCCGAGGCGGCCGCTTGCATGGCAGCCAACTTCCTTGCCCTCTCTTCATCCGCAGCTGAGTCGTCCGCCTTGCCGTTGGCACGACCGTCACCTCGGGTGTCTCTGTTGCGATCAAACCGGCGGTTGTCGTAGGGTCTACGGTCGCGAGAGCCGGATGCTTCTCCGTTCCGGTCGCCACTGCGATCTCCATTTCGTCCGTCATAACCTCGAGGTGATCTCTCCCGCTGACGGACGGGACGGTCTTCGTCTGAGACGGAGGGTTGGCGCCTTCTCTCACGATCGTCACGACGCTCTCTCCGGTCGCGCCTCTCATAATCGTCCTTCTCGCCCGAATCACGGCGGCGAGGCGATCTCGACCTCGGGGACCGCCTTCGTCGGTGGCTGCCTCTGTCTCTATCCTGCGAGTCGCTACGCCGGTGTCGTCTCTCGCGTCGGTCTTCGTCGTCAGAATCGCCTTGGCGCCGCCGGGGGCTTCTGGATCTGGATCGAGGTTGAGAGCACCGTCGCTTATGGCGTCTCTCGTCTTCTGAATCATCGTCGCGACGCCTGTGATGTCTCCTCTTATGCCTTTCGTGCCTGTCTTCCCTCTTCTTTGACTTGTCTTTTTGCTGGTCCTCGATGCCCATCGAGGCAAGCAACTGCCTGCGCTTGATCGGATCATTCATCATCGCCTCGTACGCAGCCTGCTCCTGTCTCTTGATGGCGAGAAGAGGATCTTCCCGAACCTTTGCTGCGGTGTCTCGTGCGGTGTTGGCCGTCTGCAGTGCCATGAAGCTCTCTTGGCCAGCTTGCTTTTCGAGGTTCTTGTGTTCGGTGCCCTTGAGCAGGTTGTCGATACGACGCTTGCCCAGGAGGTAGCTCTCGCGCTCCTCCGTCGTTCCGGTCTGTCCATCGGTCGGGCCGCTGTAGAGAAATTCGACGCGATCGACCTTTTTCGTGTGTCCGGCGGCCTCGAGTTTCTTCTGGAGTTCTTCACGAGCGCGCTCCTCCTTGAGCTCGTTGATCCTTTGCTGTGTCTTCTTGCGCTCCTCGAGCGCCTTCTTCTCCTCCTCCCAAACCTTGGCCTGGTTCTTCAGGAGAGAAGGGTGGAAACTCTTCTTCAAGTTGAGATCACCACCCATCTTGCCGACTGTTGCGATGTATCGCTGTTGAAATTTCCGGCGGGTAGTATGGGTGCTTGACGATGAGATTCGACGGTTGTGGGAGAGGTTGATGCGTTGAAGAAAGATAGAGTAAGGAAGTGACGCGGCTGGGAGTAAATGAGGATGCGCCTGGCTGGAACCGTGGATCAAAAAGTCGCCTCCCGCCTGCCGTGATTTTACTTGGTCTGTGCGTAATCAAACAGTGTGAGCCGGCAACCTGTGGGTCCGGCCAATCGATAAGCTCCCCCGCCTTAATGGTGCTGTCAACTGCACCGCCAACCGTTGCGGTCCTGCCTGGAAGCTGAACCTCAATCTCCAGCCTTACAACTTCCACTGCAAACAACAACGAACACCCAGTCACTTCACGAGACCAATTTGAACCCCCCCGGTCCTGTCACGACTGCTGAATATCTCAACGCCGTTTCCTGAACACACATCAGTTACTCCGTGAGATACCCGAAATCAACCGCCAACATGTCTGATGACGAGGACTTCATGCAGGAGTCGGATGAGGAGCAGTAAGGCTTTGGCATTCTCGCGGTCGGAGCCCCCATGGCAGTAACTAATATCCGGCAGATACGACTTCGAGTACGAGGAAGACGATGACGAGGAGTCCGGTGACGTTGGCATCGAGAACAAGTACTACAACGCGAAGCAGCTCAAGCTCACCGACCCCGAGGATGCGATCACAGAGTTTCTGGGCATACCGCCTTTAGAAGACGAAAAGGGTGAATGGGGCTTCAAAGGTCTGAAGCAGGCGATAAAGCTTGAGTTCAAGCTGGGCCAGTACGAGAAGGTAGGAAATCAGGACTGAAGACAAACGACAAGGCTAGAGGGGGTATGCTAATACTGGACGCAGGCTACGGAACACTACGCCGAGCTCCTCACGTACGTCAAATCAGCGGTCACAAGAAACTACTCCGAGAAGTCAATCAACAACATGCTAGACTACATTGAGAAGGGCTCAGATGGCCCCAAGGCGGTGGCGTGCGTCGAGAAGTTTTACTCGCTCACCCTCGAGAGCTTCCAGAGCACAAACAACGAGAGACTCTGGCTCAAGACCAACATCAAGCTCGCGAAGCTCCTTCTCGATCGCAAGGACTACAACACGGTATCCAAGAAGCTCCGCGATCTTCACAAGGCCTGTCAGAAGGAGGACGGTAGCGACGATCCCAGCAAGGGAACGTACTCTATGGAAATATACGCGCTGGAGATCCAGATGCATGCCGAGACGAAGAATAACAAGCAACTCAAGCGGCTGTATCAGCGTGCCTTGAAAGTTCGCTCTGCCGTCCCGCATCCGAAGATCATGGGCATCATCCGCGAGTGCGGCGGCAAGATGCACATGAGCGAGGAGAACTGGGCAGAAGCCCAGACCGACTTCTTCGAGTCCTTCCGCAACTACGACGAGGCCGGCTCGCTTCAGCGCATCCAGGTCCTCAAGTATCTACTGCTCACGACGATGCTGGTCAAGTCGACCATCAACCCCTTTGACTCACAGGAGACCAAGCCCTACAAGCAGGACCCGCGCATCACGGCCATGACGGAACTGGTGGATGCCTACCAACGCGATGATGTCCACGCCTACGAGAACGTTCTCCAGAAGAACCAAGACATCCTGGCCGACCCCTTCATTGCTGAGAACATTGACGAGGTCACGCGCAACATGCGCACAAAGGGTGTCGTCAAGCTCATCGCTCCCTACACGCGTATGAAGCTTGCCTGGATCGCGAAGCAGCTCAAGATCTCACTGCCTGAGGTCCAAGACATCCTCGGCTTCCTCATTGTCGATGGAAAAATTGACGGCAAAATCGATCAGCAGGCAGGCACGCTCGAGATCCAGTCGGACGCAGACAGCGAGCGCACCAAGGCCATGTACGAGCTCACGCAGTCCGTCTCAAGTCTCTACACGACCATGTTCAAGGACGGCGACGGTTTCAGGACCGCCGAGTTCCCCACCGATGATCAGAACATGGACGTGATGGGAGGGCTGACACCTAGAGCTGGTGGTCCCCGAGGAGCGCCGCGTGGAGCCGGACGTAAGGGTAAGGGCGTGTCGACGCATTGGCAGACCTGAGGCAATCCTCGCCGTCGAGCAAGGTGGGACGGGACAGGATTGAAATCGAGAACGGGAAAGGGAACGGGAACGAACGGGATGAGCTGCTGCCACGACTCTCCCTACATTGTAATGGCACGCGACGGATGTGCACATTAGAGCAATCTCTAGTCTCCACGCAAGAAGACAGCGAGGGCATTCAGATGGACATGGAAAAAAGATACCAAGACTACGCAGAATATGACAGATTACCCCAAGCTCATGACGGGCAGCTGCAGATACGCACAGTGTTTTACTTTTCCCCGGCCAGGCGTGATAGCGAGACAGCCTGGAAGCAGCTTGCCGCTGCACGGCGCTCGATCTGTCAACCTCACCATCGTGGAACATTCGAGGGGTGGGGTTTGTAGAGAGGACGCAACAGACGGCGGAGGCAGCGGGCGAGGCGATCCATGGCAAGCAGGGCAGCAAGTCAGTCAGTCCGGCGCGCCGATCACCCGCAGCTTACGACGTGCGGGAGAGCTGAGGATAGCGTCCGCTGCGGGTCTCGTTGGGGACTGGGACTGGGGCGGATGCGATACGTGTAAACCGACGAAAAGAGAGGGAAGAAGGGGGCGTGGAGGGGGCTTCTCTTCTCTGCGATCAACCAGCATAGTCAGTAATCAAACTCCTCGCGGAACGCTATAGAAGAAGAAGCAATGCCATCCATCGCTTGCCATTTCCTCGGCTCATCTCATCGCGAAGGCGTGAGAGTACTTTCTGAGAGAAGGGGTCGTGAAGAAGACTTGATGATCTAGATCTCTGCGTCCCATTCTGGGCCGGAATACAACGTCCCCTGCCTCCGTGTGCAAAGTTTAATCACGGCAAAAAGAAGATTAAGTTTTCCCACCATGGTCCCTTAGGAAGGTCGGTTCAGAACCTGATCCTAGCAGGTAGCGAACACCGTCACCAGAACCACCACCACCATCCTCGCTTACCGCTATGAGTTGCGGGTTAGTGGTGGTGCTGGTGGTGGGAGCAAAAGTCTTTATCCATTCTGCGTGTGTTGGTGTCGTCGATACAAGCGCCGGATGATCCCGATTGTGCCTGACGACGCACGAAGAAAACAGGCTGTTTTGCTTCGCACCCTTCGCCCCCCTCTTCTCATCGAGTGCCACGGAGCCAGTTCTCATCTCTCTCCCCTGCGACAATGTCACCACTTTGCCTTCGTATTGGCATTAGCCTCGGTTTGACCATCGAGTCAAGTTGCTGCGTTTGCATGGAGATGAAATCAAGTTGATATCCTCACGCGAGCTTGTCTCTCTCGCCTTCGTCACACCACACGCAGCATGCAGCGCATCGGCATCTATAGAGATCATCTTGCTCTCCTTCTCAAAGCAGAGATTTCCGAGCCAGGGAGGAGGAAAGGGGGGGCGAAGGAAAAACGTAGAAACGGAAACCAACGCGGCGCCTCCTATTTTGCCTCACTTCCGTGTAACCCTCCCGCTACGAACGTCAAAGGGACGATCGATGGGACGCCGGCGGCCACTCAAATGTGCCGACTTGGCCGTGGCGTAGCGTCTGCAACTTGTCGTTGTACAACGAAGCAAGCAAGCAGGTTGGGAAGGCATACGTTTTGGCTTTTGCCTCACTGCTGCATCCATTCTCCCTACAGGTCGCCGCTGCTCTCGCTCTCGGCCGATTACAGTGCGGGTGTAGCACAGAGACGCAGCAGACAGAGGAGTGTGTCCGCGGCGAATCTGGTCCGAGGAGGACGATGGGCCCTGAGTCGTGACAGAGTCAAGCTGTCAAATAGCACCAACGTCACTGGTTGGGAGCTGCAGATGGGGTCGTCACACAGGAGGGCGGGCGACCAGACAGCCTGCGGGCCTGACGCGGTCCGCTGCCGGAGCAGTCAGGCAGGTAGGCAGGCAGGCGGAGAGGTTTGCTGCGACATGTTTGGCCTATGTGGTTTGGCGAGCAGCTGTTTGTTCGCGCGTGCCGGCTGCTTGCATCATGCCATTGCAGCCAAGATGGCGGATGGAAACACAGCGTCGACCACCAAGCCATGACGGTCTGGCAGCTCGAAGATGCGGCTTAACTTTAACACGATCCACGACGGAGCTCAAGAGTGTAACATGAGAAATAAAACGTCAAGCCTTTCAGCCGCCGTTCGCGCGGCTCGCTCGCAGAACACAGGGTGCTGCGTTGCGTAGGGCAGGTCGTATATGCCTTGGAAAAATCTGACACTTGTCGAATACGTAAGGTGCCTCAAACATGCTTGGCCACGCGCTTTTGAGCGCTTTTCTGCAAGCTAGCGTCCCTCGGTGCTTCTCATAAGTCGCCGAGAGCATAGAAGGATGGCATGAGCCGTACGTTGACCACCTCCCAATCGTGATTCTCCCCGCTCCTTCGTGTTGAATTTTGTTTCGGCGAAGAGACCCTGAGATGGTAGCGAGATGTTGCCCCCCCCTTGCTTCTGTTCGTTACGCCCCGGGGGGGCGACGGCTGATCCGCGCAGGCATAACACACCGAAAAAGTAGGAGACGACGAGTGGGATACGAGGCCGAGGCGTCGCCGTCAACCCCGAGATCCACACCGATGAGATGTCAAATTTGACGTTCCTTCAGCCGCGGAGTCTGAATAGTGCTTTTTTCTCCCTCTCTCTCAAAGGCAGGAGGGAGCTTTGTGACAACTGTGGGCTATTCGTAGAAAGTGGACGACAAAGCCAAGGAAAGATCCTCGGCCTGCGAGAACAGGGGTCCCTCTCGCCGAAAGAATGAGCTGTCATATCGCCAAGGGTGTTAGTTGCTTCGAGGTCCTTTCCTCGGGGGGAAAGTAAAAGGAATATTTCGTGCAGCCCCAGCTGCGCGTCTGCATGGCAGACGCCTCCGAAGGCGGGTGAAGGGTTGGAGAATGCATCAACGAAAGGGCAAGATGAACATCA